ATGGCTCTTGAGTCCGGCTATCTGGGATCTTGACTTCCTGTCATTACTTGCCCCCTGTCATCTTTGGCAAATCGCCTTTGGAGGCTGGAGGGCGGAGCAGCAGAGGGTACATAAGTACCTTTTGGATTCACCACAATCTATGAATTTATTCTAAGGCCTCCAGTTGACCCTCTGACTGTGGCAAACTTTAAGAAGCTTAATCTCTTCAGGTCAAAGGTGGGAGAGGACTTGCTTGCTGGGAAGGATCTGATAGGAGCGGAGCCGGTCGGAGCTTCCCCCTCTAGGGGTGACCGAAGGCAACTGCAGGAACACAAACTGGTTGAGGGGAGAGCGTCAGGGAGGCCCAAGAAGGGGGTGTCCCAGATGGCAGGTTCTGCTCCTCGCTCCTCTCCCCTCCTGGCTCACTAATCGGGCAGACAGCTGTCCTGCAGTGTCCTTGGTCCTGTGTCCACCGCACCCTCCCTCAGTGCGGGTTCTGGGCCAGGAGCCAGACCTCAGAGCGCCGCTGACCAGTGGTGCAATCTTGAACGAGTCACTTTACTTCTCTGAGCCCCGGTGAACTTATCTGAAAATTGGAGCCGAAATCTCCCAGCCCCCAGGGCTAAGAAGTTCAAAGGAGAGCGTGTCTGAAAGCGCTTCGCAGGCAGCACAGTTCCGGGCAGAGGTGCCCCCTGGAAGTCCTCATTGTTCCTTCTCCTGCGGGGCCGGAATCCCCAGCCCTGCCTGGTTCGTTCTCAGTTCTGTTTGCGGGTGACTCGCTATCCCTGTTCCCATTTGGGGCTCTAGACAAATCGAGACAGGCCCGAATCTTCTCCCCTTGCTGGGTCGAGAAGCCAGACGAGAGACCTAGCTAGTGACCCCAGGATGCAAGCAGGTCAGGCCGCACCGCACAGGTCTGTGTTCTCTCCCTTATCAGTGTTTTCCATAGTAAACACCCGAATGTGGCCTCATGAATTTTGAAACTCCACTTGGTGTTGAGTTCAAGTGGCGTTTGACGGAGGTCAGAGAGACTTTTCTCGAACTACCCCAGGGAGGTCACATCTCCCAGACAAAGGCCCTCGCCCTGTGCCAGGCCCCGCTCAGCAGTGGGGGCAGAGATGAACTTCATGGTGTGGCAGGGAAGACAGGGTGGTGAACAAAGTCCGGAGGGGGTTTTGAGGAGGGAGCACAGGGCCCAGCCACCTAATTTGACCTTGTGGATGAGCGGTAGGATTCCAGCGAAGTAGGGAAGAGACGGGCACCTTCCTGAAGAAGACATCCCAGCTGAGTCTTAAGTGTGAGGAGGGTGTAGGACAAAACAAGGGGATTTCTGGCAGAGGGAATAGCTTGAACATAGGCATGGAGGTGAGAAGCCATAAATGATAAAAAACATAATTATATTCAAAGCATAGAGATGTAGAACATGAGGCTGAGAAAAAAAAAAAAAAAGATGGGCCAGATCTTTTCATGGGAACCATAACCTCGATCATTTGCATATTGCTGCTCTCATATTAAAAAATTGAGCAATAGAGCCCAGCCGGCGTGGCTCAGTGGTTGAGCATTGACCTATGAACCAGGAGGTCATGGTTTGACTCCCGGTCAGGGCACATGTCCGGGTTGCTGGCTCGGATACCAGTATGGGGCATGCGGGAGGCAGCTGATCAATGATTCTCTCTCATCATTGATGCTTCTATCTTTCCCTCTCCCTTCCTCTCTGAAATCAATAAAAAATAATATTTTTCAAAAATCGGGCAATAGAGGCTCAGAGAGTTTAAATATCGTGCCCAAGAAGCCTTCCTCTCTGAGCTTCTGGTTTCGGGCCGGCAGCTTGTGGTCCCCTAGGATTATTTTCAGGTCTGCATTTTCCACAAACGGGAAGGGGCACCCACAGCGGGAACCACCTTCCAGCCCAGAGGGCGAGTGGCCAAAAGATCCGCCTGCCCCCAATAGGCCTTTCTTTCCCTGGCTGTGGGTGTGGCTAAGTGAATCCACCCCTATCACACTCCATCGAAGATGGGTCAGGGCATGTGGCTGGTTCTGCCTGGCACTGCTGATGGGTGGTTCCCACAGACAGGCCAGATGAACGGGTCTGAGAGCCGTATCTCAGGAGCCCTGTCCCTTTCTTTTTTTTTTTTTTTTTAAATATAATTTATTGATTTTTTACAGAGAGGAAGGGAGAGGGATAGAGAGTTAGAAACATCGATGAGAGAGAAACATCGATCAGCTGCCTCCTGCACACCCACCACTGGGGATGTGCCTGCAACCAAGGTACATGCCCTTGACCGGAATCGAACCTGGGACCCTTGACTCCGCAGGCCGACGCTCTATCCACTGAGCCAAACCGGTTAGGGCTGTCCCTTCCTTTAAAAAAAAATATATTTTTATTGATTTCAGAGAGGAAGGGAGAGGGAGAGAGAGATAGACACACCCATGATGAGAGAGAATCATTGATCAGCTGCCTCCTGCATGCTCCATACTGAAGATCGAGCCCGAAACCCGGGCATGTGCCCTGACCGGGAATTGAACCGTGACCTCCTGGTTCATTGGTCAATGCTCAACCCCTGAGCCACGCCGGCCAGGCAGGAGCTCTGTTCCTTCTTGCCAGGTCCTATCCACCTGGGGGCCCCTCCAGGCCATGCCCATTCCAGCTGCCCCAGGAACCTTGGTTCTGGGTAGGGTCAGCCTGGAGTCCAAGTGGATAAGCTCATTGTAATGAGCAGTTGCTGGTCCAGAAGCTTCTCAGACTGGACCTCATCTCAGCACTTTTCTTTCCCTTCACAGTGAGCTCTGAGGCCACCCTGGCGGCTTCAGGACCCTGGGCAACCTTCGTGGGCCCTTTTTCCAAAGGTCTTGCTCACGAAAGCCGGTACCGACTTCTACTTCTCACCTCAGGAGGGTGGATAAGCAGGTTCTGGCATCCACTGAGCCCCTGTGACCCAGACCCTGGGTCCGGTGTACCCATGCCATCTCCTGAGCATAGACTGCAAAAAATCTTTCCGACAGATGCTGAAAGAAAACCCAAGAAACTCTGAAGAGCAGTCACCGTAGGTGGGGGCCTGGGTGGAGCGATCCCCCTCTGCGGGGGGCTGCGGCCAGATCCATTAAATCAGAATCTCTGGGGGTGGTTTTAGGGCTATCCCTCAGCGGTTCTCAACCTGTGGGTCGCGACCCCTTTGGGGGTCGAACGACCCTTTCACAGGGGTCGCCTGAGACCATCGAAAAACACATACGTAATTACATATTGTTTGCAGTAGCAAAATTACAGTTATGAAGTAGCAACGAAAATAATTTTATGGCTGGGTGTCACCACAACATGAGGAACTGTATGAAAGGGTCGCGGCATGAGGAAGGTTGAGAACCACTGCTCCAGGTGCGTCCCAAGCAGCCGGGCTGGACCACGGCTTCACAGGAGCGGGGGGAGGGAGGCACCTCCGTCCTCCGCGGCCCCCAGGTGCGCCTTTCACAGCACAGTCCCGTTCCCGAAACCAAAAATCAAAACCGGCGAGTGGTGGCCAAGTCGGTAGGACCGGAAGGAGGGGCGGG